GTTAGAGGAGCTCCTTTCCTTGCTTGTTGCCATGTCTTGTAATGACTTGAAGATAGTGGAGTTTCCCCTGTTTGCTCTCATACCATGTTGGGCTGAGATAGCCCCTTAGGATCTTTTCAAGGGAGAACTCTGGGTAGGATAGTGTTGTAATAGCGGAAGCGTTTAATGAAGAATTATGAACCACCTTGCGCTGGTATGTGAGGGCAAAGTAGATTGATTATATAGCAAGGAAGTACAAGATTATATAATAATACAAGGAATATGAAAGGATGCAGTTTGTAACTACTTTACTGTTGCTGTTGCGGTTCGATACAGTACGACTCGGGCAACTGCTCTGTAACGAGTCAGTTGTGTGTCCTTAACTGTCGCGCTGTATTTGTCAGGTCAAAGGTCGCTTGACCTTTGACTTTCGCGTAACCTCCAGCAACCTCTCAACCTCCGAGGGTTGACTCGCGTTTGTTTCGGTACTGCTTGCTTCGCTTCTGGTGCGATGTTTCGACACGACTGAAGCGCTTAAGATTCACTGTTTCCAACACCATCCACGTATAGAATAACAATAGCGTGGGTGAATCTGCGATAGACCATAGCTGGCCTTGAAGGGGTACTTGTCCTCTATGGCTAATCTAGTTTCTGCCTCAATGTGGTAATACCGTACCACAATCCACCACAAGGCCGCTCAAAGCTAAAACATGGAGAGATAAAGAGCATGCGCATGTGGGTCTACATTACATGCGATGGAATATAAATGGTCCTAAATAGCCATGTACTTTGAAGGAGTACATTCCCTTGGTGATTGCCCGCACCACGTCTTGATTGGCCAGGTAGCACTAGATTGTCGTCCTCTCTTTGCCCTCATCTGCGCTGGAGACTTTTCGTTACGGAGAGACAATGAAGCTGCTTCACACATTGCAAATGCAAGGAGCGTGAGGGCAGCAGCAGTAAAGAGGCTGAAAGCAGCAGCTGTGAGTGTGGAAAGGCGAGAAGCAGGCTCGAGAGGAGGGGCAGGAGGGGTCTGGGTGGAAGCAGATGACGACTGAGGCACTGGCGATGCTGGTGCTGCAGTTAATTTTGATGCTGAAGTTGATTCCGATGCTGCTGCTGGTGCTGGAGCTGCTGTGGGTGCTGCCCCTGAAGCATGGGACAGAATCACATGCAGTGGCAGGCAGACACATACCACTCAACTACCAGCACACAGAAGCTGCATGCACATATGTCATACTAATTCACCCTTGTGCAACACATCTTCTAAAATAACCGAGACATTTCAAGAGCTGTTATGTACAGTAATGTGCATACATATGCACAGCATGCACGTGGGGGTGCAGGCAAGCAAGAACCCACATGCAGCAGGGCACAGGCACGTACACTTGAGGGGCGTGCAGGAGGAGCAGAAGGAGGAGCAGAGGCGGCAGAAGGAGGAGGCGGTGCTCTGCTTCGCCCCACACTCGCTGCCGTCCGCCGCGCAGGTCAGCCCCGACGCTGTGCTGTTGCTGGCGGTGACGGCCGTGGCGAGGGGCAACGATGCAGATAGGTGACGTGAAAACGGGAAAGGTAGAGGGGAGGAGGCAGTGTGGCCAGTGCAAACATGCTAACGTGCTGATGATTGTGTGATAATTGCGCAGCACCAGCATCAACATGCATGCATGCATCTGGTGGCCTGGCTTCAAGCAACACAGATCTGGCATGGATGAATGGAGGCATGGGTGCATGGGTGCATGGGTGCATGGGTGTGTCAGAGGTCCACTGGGGATCCCCGATGATCCTAGGGAAGGGTTACAGGCACGTCGGCCTGGGGGGTTATGGGCGCACTCACCCGCTATATAAACAAGCCCTTTTATCCCAGTGGTTAGTGACTGGGATTCTGACAGGGTGCACGGGTGCAGGGCTCACAAGTAATAGAGGTTGCCAAAGACAGGAGGTATGGGACCAGTCAAGGTGTTGCCTCCAAGGCCCCTGCCATTTCATTCCATGCCATGCCATGCCAACGTTACACCATGCCATGCCATGCCATTCCACGTTATACCATGCCATGCCATGCCATTACACGTTACACCATCCCATGCAATCCAAGCGACCCACACATGAGTACTTCGCTGCTTCATGGTGCCTGCAAACCATTGGCCCCACAGAGTTGCACGAGGTGATAGATGGAACAGGCATGTATTGCCCTTCCCAAGCCATGCCCCTCGCCCAGTCCCGGTAAGTGTGCGTACAGAGAGAAGAGGGACTCAGACAGGCCGGTCGCAGGCAGGGAGCCCTCGAGCTGGTTGTGAGCGAGGGAGCTGGGAAGAGGGAGAGGGAGTGGGTTGGGGAGGGAGGGGGGTGAAGCAAGCACACGTGGCGTCAGCACGAGATGCACGGCTTCAGCAAAAGATGCACGGAAGAAACATGGGATGCACGGGGAGGGTGGAAGGGATGGGCTTACAGGGCTGTTAGCGAAGACAGGGTGAAGAGGGCAGGGGGCACAACTCCAGTGAACTGATTGTGAGAGATGTCACTGATGGAGTGGGGATGCATTGAGAGAGGGGGAGGAAGGGGAGGGGGATGGGGAGGTTGGAGAGGAGGGGGGCGGGAGTTGGTTCAAACCAGCTCTGCCAGCATAAATTACGCCAGAAACATTGAACGTTGTCAAAGCTGTGACACAAAGGTACGCATTCATGCATGCAGGAGGCAGCTAGAAAGCATTGACCGGAGGGCTCACAAGCTGTCGACTGTTGTGAGCGTCGTGAGCTGTGCGGGCAGTGATCCAGAGAAGTTGTTGGCTGATAGATTGCTGCGAGGAGACAGCAGAGGCGGTTGAGTGGATCACATAGGCCTGTTGCTTGCTTCTAGGTGAACTCAATTCAGAGTATGAGAATGATTCTTGCTGGGTCGAGACATTGGAGATTCGAAAGAACAAAAGAAATAATAGACCAATAAAAGAAAGAAAGAAAGAAAGAAAGAAAGAAAGAAAGAAAGAAAGAAAGAAAGAAAGAAAGAAAGAAAGAAAGAAAGAAAGAAAGAAAGAAAGAAAGAAAGAAAGAAAGAAAGAAAGAAAGAAACACTTCAAGGACTCAGATTTGACAACGAGATGGGAGAGGCACGAGTGAGGGGAGAGTGCGGGAGGCTGGAGTGGGGCTACAAGGGCGCCCCATGCAGTGGGTCAGTGCGTGCAAGCACCACTTTTGGGTGAGTCACAGCCTGAAATGAGCACGTGCGTGTGGAGTGTGCGATGCTGAGCAGCTGAGATGAGCAAGTGCGGGAGAACTCTCAGAAGTGAGACAGCATGCATGCAGCAGGGGTGGGCATGGCATGTGTGCATGCGTACAGCCTCTTGTATTGCGGTGCGGCAAGCATGGCGGAGGGGAAGGGCCCCGTGAAGCTGTTGTTGGAAATGTCGCTGCAGAGAGGAGGGGCAGGGAGGGGAGGGCAGGAAGGGTAAGGAAGAGGGTGGGAAGTGAGGGTGGGGGAGGGTGTGAAGGGTAAGCTGCATAGAGAGGGTGAGAGGTGAGGAGTGGGGGAGCAGAGTGGGGGAGCAGAGTGGGGGAGCAGAGTGGGGAAGCAGAGTGGGGGAGCAGAGTGGGGGAGCAGAGTGGGGGAGCAGAGTGGGGGAGCAGAGTGGGGGAGCAGAGTGGGGGAGCAGAGTGGGGGAGCAGAGTGGGGGAGCAGAGTGGGGGAGCAGAGTGGGGGAGCAGAGTGGGGGAGCAGAGTGGGGGAGCAGCGTGGGGGAGCAGAGTGGGGGAGCAGAGTGGGGGAGCAGAGTGGGGGAACAGAGTGGGGGAGCAGAGTGGGGGAACAGAGTGGGGGAGCAGAGTGGGGGAGCAGAGTGGGGGAGCAGAGTGGGGGAGCAGAGTGGGGGAGCAGAGTGGGGGCGCAGAGTGGGGGAGCAGAGTGGGGGAGCAGAGTGGGGGAGCAGAGTGGGGGAGCAGAGTGGGGGAGCAGAGTGGGGGAGCAGAGTGGGGGAGCAGAGTGGGGGAGCAGAGTGGGGGAGCAGAGTGGGGGAGCAGAGTGGGGGAACAGAGTGGGGGAGCAGAGTGGGGGAGCAGAGTGGGGGAGCAGAGTGGGGGAGCAGAGTGGGGGAGCAGAGTGGGGGAGCAGAGTGGGGGAGCAGAGTGGGGGAGCAGAGTGGGGGAGCAGAGTGGGGGAGCAGAGTGGGGGAGCAGCGTGGGGGAGCAGAGTGGGGGAGCAGAGTGGGGGCGCAGAGTGGGGGAGCAGAGTGGGGGAGCAGCGTGGGGGAGCAGCGTGGGGGAGCAGAGTGGGGGAGCAGCGTGGGGAAGATGCATGAGGGACGTGGGGTGGGGAGGAGGCGTGTCATACAGGTCGGCGAGGGCGAGTTGTGCGAGGGCAGCAGGGAAGGCGCCTGACAAGTTGCACGACCCGATGTTGCTGTGTGGCAGGCAGGGCAGGGCAGGGCAGGGCAGGGCAGAGTCACCACAGGAGGGCAGGCAGCGTGGCAGCGAGGAGGGTGAGGACGCAAACGGACATGGCACGCAGGAGCGAAGGGAAACGAGCAGAGTGAGGTGCAATGGAGATGGGGGAGCAGTAGAGGAGAGCAAGAGGCAAGGGGCACGGCACGGCGAGGAGGATGCCTGCAGGCATGAATGGGGCAACGCAATGCAACGCAACGCCTGCAGGCATGACGCAACGCAATGCAACGCGGTGAGGCGCAACGCAATGCAACGCGGTGCTCACAGGGTGGAGATGTTAGTCATGCGTGCAAGCACGTCCAGACCACCCGAGAGAGCGTTGTGGCTGATGTCCCTGTGGGGGGCAACGGGGCATGGGCATGGCATGGCATGGCAGAGGTGAGGCAGGGGGATGGCAGGAATGGGGTAAAAAGACTTACATGTTTGCGATGGAAGGAAGCGGGAGAGAAAGGTGGGGAAGGAAGGTGGGAGAGGAAGGTGGGAGAGGAAGGTGGGAGGCGGAGGTACCATAGGTGGAAGGGGATGCAGCGGGCTTACACATTTGCGAAGGAGGGGGAGATGGTGATGCCACATGTGGAATGGAATGCATGGGGCTTACACATTGTCGAGCGCAGGAAGGTTTGCCAAGGATGGTGGGATGGGCCCTGACAGATCGTTGTAGCTCACATCCCTGCAAGGAGAGATGGCGTGCAGGGGGGGAGAAGTGGGGGTGACGAGAGAAGAAGCCAAGATATGAGTGTGTCTGGGAGGGTGGTGTGCGTGTGGAAGGAAGTGAGTTGGATACGGGGGCTGTTTGGGGGTGTTGTGTTGGGGGCGGTGCATCATCTGACCCACACTTGGAACTGCAAGATAAGCACAGCCATGACTTGACAGCTGGAAACGAAGGTGGCACGAAGGTGGCAGAGGAAGGTGGGAGATGGAGGTGCCAGAGGTGGGTTGAAGGGACTCACAGAGTGGCAAGGGAGGCAAGGCCTGAGAATGATGCTGGAGTGGGCCATGTGAAACGGTTGTGGCTCAGTTTCCTGTGGGATGGGAGAGATGGAGTGGGTCAGACGCTTGTGGACGCTCATCAAGAAGTCGTCGCCCCCCATGCCTTGCCTCCCATGCCCCCCATTCCTCCCATCCCATGCCCCCCATGCCTCCCATGCCTTGCCTCCCATGCCCCCCATTCCTCCCATGCCCCCCATGCCTCCCATGCCCCCCATTCCTCCCATGCCCCCCATGCCCCCCATGCACCCCATGCACCCCATGCATCTCACAAGCCACAACCCGCCACTCACATGACCTCCAGGGAAGCAGGAGAGGCGGGGAAGGGGCCCTCCAGGGCGTTGTGGCTCAGCGAGCTGAGCAGAGCGAGCAATGGGGACATGGGGGGCAACGCAAGGGGGCACAGCAGTGGGGTCATTGGGGAGGCCTGTCCATGCGAAGTGGGAAGTTATGCAAGTGCGTGCGCGCCGTGCAGGCAAGCAGAGAGCATGCGCTGTTTGAATTGAATGGACAAGCGTGGCAAGATTGTAGGCAAGCAGAAGAGGAAAGCAGAGAGGAGAGCAGAGAGAATGGCACGGAGCACAGTCCACGAGAACAGTTCCTATAGCCCATATCCACATGCCTCTCCTCTTGGTTTACTCACAGGAATTCCAGAGACGCGGGCAATACAGGCAGCGAGCCAACCAGGGCGTTATGGGAGAGATCCCTGCAGGCAGGCGGGCAGACGGGCAGAGAGGCAGGCAGGCAGGCAGGCAGGCAGGCAGGCAGGCAGGCAGGCAGGCAGGCAGGCAGGCAGGCAGGCAGGCAGGCAGGCAGGCAGGCAGGCAGGCAGGCAGGCAGGCAGGCAGGCAGGCAGGCAGGCAGGCAGGCAGGCAGGCAGGCAGGCACACAGAGCGGTCATGAGAGGTGTGGCGTACAGCTTTGAGAAGGCAGTGAGGGCGGAGATGGTGGCGGGGTAAGGCACGAGTGTGCTAAAGACGCGAAAGGTGCCGAGGAGGACTCATGGCAGGCGTACAGCTCTGAGAGGCCAGTGAGGGCGGAGATGGTGGCGGGGAGGGAGCCTGAGAAGCCGTTGCCTGCTGCCCTCCTGCGATGGGGGGGAGAGTGGGGTGGGGTGTGCAGCAGAGCAGAGAAGAGAGCCAGGAGTTACTCATGAGTGGGGGGAGCACAATCATATGACACACACAGAGAGGGCGAAAGGGCTGCCGAACAGGCTCGTTCAGATGAAATGAACCAGATATAATGCTCAATCCTCGCTCGTGACGCAGGTCGGCCCGCTGCGTGAGGCTGCTGCTGCTGTGCGTGCCTGCCCCCCTGTTGTAGCTGCAGCTGCTGCTGGCACTCTGTGGCTTTCAATACACATAACAAGGTGAATCATGGGCATCAGCAGAGCGACACGCGAGCAGCAGGCAGGGTGAGAAACGAGCAGCAGGTACGCAGGCAGGTGGGCAGGCAGGCAGGAGGCAGCTCACATGGCGTGCAAGCAGCAGCAGGTAGGCAAGCTGGTAGGCAGGCAGGCAGGTAGATAGGCAGGTAAGCAAGTAGTAGGCAGGCAGGAGGCAGCTCACAGTGTGTTGAGGCTGGTGAGAGCCGTCCAGTCGGCTGGAAACGGCGAGGAGCGTGCAGGGGTGAGGCCGTCGGGTGCTGTCACATCCCTGGGGAGAGGAGGGAGGGTAAGGCGAGTGGTGCGGAGAGAGCAAGGCGAGTGGTGAGGAGAGAACATAGTGGGTGGTGTGGAATGGAAATAGCACGGTGAGTGGTGTGCAGTGAAGAGAGCATGGTGGGTTGGTGGTGCAGTGCAATAGTGCAACGAGGGGTCGACAACATGAGAGTGACGTGAGAGGATTGATACGTTAGAGTCACACCTGCGAAGCAATGCTGGCGAAAAGAAAAGAAGCAACGGATGGAAAGAGCAGGGTTGGTGGAGTGGTGATTACAGGAAATGCAGATTGAGGAGTTGTGCGATCCACGATGGTACGCTGGTGAACTTGAGATAGCCCAGGTCCCTGTTCCACAGGGGAAGGGCGGGAAGGGGCGTGGTTGGGGTAACGTTGCTTCCACACACAAGCAATATGAGCTTCTTGCCTAATCATTGCGTCGACACACTCTCATCTCTGTAGTCGACACCTGTACGCTCCGGTGGGCGAGAGGGCAGTCAGAGCAGTGAGGGAAGGCCGTGACTTACAGGTATGAGAGGGCGGTGGCTTTGCCGAGCGAAGTGGGGATCTCCCCAGTCAGCCCAGTGCCGAACAGATCGCTGCCGTGTGTGGGGAGGACAGATGGGGAGTTGAGTGCGCTTGCGTGAGACCAAGGGTATGAGGGGATAATACGAAAGCGATTGAGCGGCGGGCATATGAGGGAGGAATGAAATGAACAGCCGCGCAATCTTGAAAGTTCTCAAAAGGGTATCCAGTGCACAAGGAGAGGTGAAGTGGAGAGGTACGGGGCGTACAGGTATTGCAAGGCGGGCAGGTAGGCAAGAAACTCCGGGCTGCCGGTCAAAGGGCTGGAGGAGAGATCGCTGCAGGGTGGTGGGGTGCAGAGGGTTGGAGGGAGATTAGGAGAAGGCTTATCCGAAAGAGAACCATGGGTCACACGATGAAGGAGAGAGAGGAAGGGAGTGGGAGGCGAGTATGGATGGTGACTGACTGGACCTGAGGGTGCGAGTTGTGGACAACGAGAGAGGCTTGGCTCACAGTTCCTGGAGAGCGGTGAGGTTGCGGAATGCGTCCATGGGGATGTCGCCCGAGAGGTCCAGGCCGGCCAGGTTCCTGGTGACACGCAGGAGAGTGGGGAGAATGGGGAAGGGGCGTGGTTGGTAACGTTGCTGGCACGCACAAGCAATATGAGCTACTTGCCTAATCACTGGGGAGAACATGCATCAGCAGGAGAGGAGAAGAAAGGAGAGGAGATGAGAGGAGAGTGTTTTGTTTTTTTAGGGATGAGAAAAAGGGACGGGAGGAAACGTGAAGACAGGGGAGCCATAGTGAAAGCGACTGCTAAGTAGCGAAACAAATTGGATTGAACAGTGCAACAATATAGAACACACACTAGAAAGGAACTGCCGAGCCAAGGCACAAGAGAAAACAGAGAACGCAAGTGGGAGGGAGGGACACACCAGTGCATGTGGCCCTCAACTTGGACATAACAAGAACGAAAACCCACGTTCTGAACTAACATGCATGCTGATAGAAATGGAGCTCAACTGATTGATGGGTAAAGAAGGCACTAGGCCTTAAGTACAAACAAGGTTGGGTTGGGCAAGGCTAGGGAAAGGATGGGATGGGAATCCTAGCAAATCTCCAATTGGAAAGTTGGCAGATTTGCAGGATTGCGAGGAAATCCCAACCAGATAGGGTTGGAATGACAAACTACACCCAACCTGCAAATAACCTACGCAATATAGAATATAGTACACAAAGTGTTGACAGCCTAATTCTAACACACCCCCTAGGCTGCAACACATCAGCCACAAGGAGGCCCAACATCCATGGCCGAGAGGAGGCGGTAATGGTCCTCGCGAACAAGCGACTTGGTAAACAAGTCAGCAAGGTTGCTGTCGGAGGCAATGTGTTCAGCCTTCAGGTGCTCGCGCTGCACCAGCTCACGAAGAAAGTAGTGACGGACTTCAATGTGCTTGGTGCGGCCGTGGAAAACGGGGTCCTTGGTGAGATGAATGGTGCTCTCGTTGTCACACCAAAGCGTTGGGGTCGGTTGGAGATACCCTTGTTCTGTCAGCAGGAAGGAGAGCCAACGAGCCTCCTGGGCAGCCATGGTCCCGCATACAGCTCTGCCTCACAGGTTGACAGTGAGATTGAGGACGACCGAGTGGAGCGCCAACTTACAACCCCACTACCAAGGGTAAAGCAATACCCTTGGGAAGAGCGCCGATCACTCTGGTCATCAGCATAGGATGAGTCACTGTACCCCTCAAGGCGAACAGGGGAAGAGCCGCCAAGTGTGAGCACATAATCCTGTGTGCCTTTGAGATAGCGAAGAACCCGCTTGGCAGCAGACCAGTGGCGGCGAATGAAGCGACCAGGTGCAACGTAGCAGGACAATACATTGACTGGATAGGCTAAGTCTGGTCGAGTGCACATCATAGCGTACATGAGGGATCCCACGAGCTCGGGGTAAGGCTCGTCACAGGGTTCAGGTGAGGGAACAGAGGGTGCAGTGAGTTGGTGCTGCAGAGAGAGTGGGGTGGGCATTGATGTTGCTTCCTGCATCTTGAACTTCGTCAGACCGTTGTTGATGTAAAACTTCAGCGAGAGGGTGATGGTGCGGGCTGTGCGATCACGTGTAATTTCGTCAGAACGTTGTTGATGTAAAACTTCAGCGAGAGGGTGATGGTGCGGGCTGTGCGATCACGTGTAATTTCCATTCCCAAACAGTTCGTCAGCTTCCTAAGGTCCTTCATGGCCAGTTTCTCACCAAGTGTTGTTTTGACTGCTACCAGCTCAGTCTAATCCTTGGTGACAAAGATAATGTCATCGACATGAACCAGGATGAAGAAGCGGGATGGTGTTGTTCGGACGAAAAGACTCGGGTCAGAGGTGGATGGGTGAAAGTCGAGAGACCCTAAGGTGCTCTTTAGCTTGTTGTGCCATTCCCGGGGAGCTTGCTTGAGGCCATACACTGGCCGATTTAGCTTCCATACAGTGCCTGGTGGAAAAGGAGCTGGAAATGGTTCGGGCCGCTCCATATAGATTTCCTCTCGAAGGATCTCTTGCAGGAACGCAGAAGACACATCCATGCAGTCAACCTCCATGTCATCTCGAGCAGCAACGTCGAGAAGGGTGCGCAGCGTGGGAGGTTTGGCGATGGGAGAGTTTGTC